TTTCTTCACAAAAATGGCTTCTTTTACTCCTCTCTCAAACCAACGTTCCTCTCTATCAAGAATGAGAACATCCTCATCTCTGAAAGAGTGACAGCTGGCCTCAGAGATGAGGATGTTCTCATTCTGTATGTATGTATGTATGTATGTATGTATGTATGTATTTATGTATGTTTCAGTTTTTCTTGTAATGGATGCTGCAGTAGCATGGTAGTCAATGCCATTGTCACTTAGACTAGGCCTAAAGTTTGTGTTGTGAACACCAAAACTCATAAATTTTACAACTTATTGTCATACATATCAACTTGTATGGATTGTCCATAAATTACAGATTGTCCCCATTTTACAGGAATATAGAATGTATAGAGAAATTTCATGGATTTTTTAAAAAAACTCAGCTTCAAATGTATTCCACATCTCAGAGCCTGTAGGATGTTAAATAAATAAACAGTGTTGTGCCATGCTGTGATGGACTTGCGACCTGTCCAGGGTGTACCCCGCCCCTCGCACTGTGACTGCTGGATATGGGCACCAGTGACCCACGCGACCCTGAAAAGGAAGAAGCGTGTACAGAAAATGGATGGATGGATGGATGTTGTGCCATGAAATCAAAAGATTGCGTAGAGGAAGGGGTGTGCTCTACCAGTAACCTCCCATCTCGCACTTATCTCACATAAGAGTACTATTGATTTTTTGTGAAAACTACAGATTTTTGAAGGTCAGTGTACAGGTAAACATCCAAAGGAGTTGACATGTATGTCATTTGTATTTTACTTTTCAGGGATCTTTGTCGGCAGGATACCACATGCGACTACTACTTCAGCATAGATTCAGATGTCATGCTAACCAACCGGCAGACAGTGAAGCTCCTCATCGAACAAAACAGGTAATCTTGGACTAACTAGAAAAGAAGCCAAGTTGGAGCCAGCTCAGCATGCCAACTTGGTAGCTGTCAGGCTCATTCAAGTGTTGAATTTATCCCTCAAGTGGCAAACCCACAGGAACTTTACAAGGCAAGGTAATTAAAGTTTTAAAATACACTGCTCTGGCTTCCTGTTTTTGCCTGGCCACATGGAAACGTTGAAAGAGAATGTCACACCAACCAAGAAATGCTGCTTAGCATTATATGAAAAAACAAACACACAAACCCTTTTATTCCCCTTTGCAGCTCATGATTGGACAGAAACCTTCCCATAAACTGGATGTCACTGTGGCTTTAGCAGTGGAATTGTAACTGACTGGAGGCATGCGAAGCAAAAGGACTTTCTCAAGGATATTTAAAGGTGGCATGAGAATTCCTTGCTGGCTTAGGTCTCTGTGGCAGAAAACCAAGGCGATGTGGTCAGCAGTAGTCTGTCATAATGCATTCATTTGCATAAATGCTAACCAACACTATAATTTGTATTGAAATTATTTTAAGTCTGTCCTGAATTTTGAATAAAATTGAAAATTTCATCATACTATTTATTTAGATTTTCTAGACTGAAGATATTAGCAGAAAAATCATGTGTGTTATAGGCATAATTTCGAGAAATAAACCATATTCAAATGTATAACAAAGACCTTTTTAAGCAATCCCTTTGAGTGTCCAACATGACCAGATCTGGTTTGAATGTTGCATGTCTATGCTTGGTTTCAGTATTGGAACTGTTTTTATTTTCCAGGTTAATCTGTCAAAAGTAGCACAGCACAATGGTTTTACCACTCAGAGAGGCAGAACATTAGGCAATTGGCTTTCTGTGATATTTCCCCAAGTTTTATCTGTTCTGACAGAAATACCCTCTCTTTCCACCCTGCCTTTCGCTTCCCCACAGAAAAATAATTGGTCCCCTTGTCACTCGTCACGGCAAGCTGTGGTCTAATTTCTGGGGAGCCTTGAGTCTGGATGGGTATTATGCACGCTCCGAGGATTATGTTGACATTGTCCAAAGAAAACGTGTGTAAGTCACAAACAAGTCCAAAGCAGTTTCTGGTTACGTTTCACATCCACCTACACATTTAGGTTTTCATTTCTGGGTAAATGCAAAAAACATGACCTGGTGTTCTGAAACCCAAAATGCACATTTAAAGGAGGGGTGTTATGCAAAATTTACTCATTTTAGCTGCATATCATGTTATAATGTCATTCCCTCATCAAAAACCTGGCCATAGTGTTGCTTTCAATCATTCATGCATGTTTGAGAAATCCTTGAATCTCCTGTGGTAGCCATGTGGAGCTGCCTAAACGCTTAATCGTACAAAGCCCCACCTATTTACCCAAAGCACCTCCCTCGTGCTCAGCCCCCAGCCGAAGACCCGACCCACTGGGCGTCCCTCCCACGAAGCATTGTTGTTAAGACGTGCTGAAGTGGGAGTGTAGGAAACAGTAGGACACTCTGAAAGAAACAGAGGCTAATTTCAAGGTGTTTAGATTATTATTATTATTGCTACATTTTCAAAACAACTAAAGGTAACATTTACTTGATTGTGGTATAGAACTGAACTACATGCCTGAAAAACACCAGCACCCCCCTTCCCAAAAAAAAAAAAACCATATATATATATATATATATATAGTAATTGATTTAGAAAATCTCTGTAGTGAAATTAACATTTACATTTAGATGTTCCAGTGAAACAAAACTAATGACTGTTGTCTGCTATGCAAACTGAGACAAATATACCAAACACACCAAAGTCTCCAAATACCACACTGTACTAACTTATTTCACAACTCAGTCTCATGTAATTGCTAAATCCTAAACCATAAAGTGAATAATATTTGCAAAATTTATACCAGTGTGCAAGTTTGGAATACAAAATGACCTTTTCTCTGTTCCTTATTGTTTCAAGGGGTGTGTGGAACATTCCTTTTATGGCGCATGCATACCTCATCAAGGGCAGCGCCTTAAGGAATGAACTTAAAGAAAAGAACTACTTTGTTCTGGAGAAACTGGACCCAGATATGGCTTTGTGTAGAAATGCCAGAGAAATGGTAAGAAGGCATAATGTTCTGTTTCAAACTATTAGAGATGGTGCATAGGATTATTGTTTACACTCAACGTAGCAAGTTGACAGATGTTATGAATCTAACTCTCAACAAAAGTCGACAGCTCAGTTGAATCCAAAGACAGGAGAGTATGATTGTTTTAAAATGTCCTTGTATGTCATTGAGGCATGACCCTCTCTCTGTTCACAGTTTATCTGTGGTGCATTAAGGTTCTCTGCTCCACTTGCTTCCATCAATCTTCACTTTCTTTTACCGTCAATGTCATGACCTCAGTTATTTGCAATGCTTGACTTGCCAGAAGACATTTGTCTCGTCTTTTACATGTGTTCACCTGTGTTCTGCGCCTGTTTGTCACCTCTGTTCAGCTTGAACAGCTACCCAGCATGCATTACTTCCATATTAACCCACAAAAACATCAGCTTCAGAGGGAACCTTGCTTCTTTTCTCATTTAGATCAATTTCTGCTCCTCCTAAGTTTGAAATACAGTATGTGACACTTACACATTTCAGCTGTCACTGTGTCTTTTATATTCAAATAATGTACTTTATGTTATCATATTTACATGATCCTTCTCCTTTATTTTAGACCAGTCACAGAGAAAAAGACTCCCCTTCTCCGGAATCATTCCATATGCTCAGGCCGCCAAAGGTCTTCATTTACTTTTTTATACTTGTGTAAACATCCATTTCCAATGGCATAGCTCTCCAAAATTAATAAAATTTGGTGAATTTGAAAGAGAGACTAAATTAACATGTATTTTTAGTTGATTTGACAATTTCTCTTCAATAAGAATTCAAATTTTGCTTAGCGTTTGATTTTCTTAAATATGGAAATTTAGCATTTTGAAAATTCCATTGAAATTAGATTATAATGCACTTACCAATAAAAAAGTTAAGCACCCAGATGGAGTGGTGGAAAAAATGTGAAATTGCACACATCAGCAGGTCAGAGGACAGCAAAGATTACAATATCAAATCCAATAGATCATGAAGTTTTCAGCATGGTATTTATGCTGGCTCCATGTCAGTAGGGTGTGGGACTCTTCGGTCCTTCATACAAGTGGCAGTTCAGTGTGAAAGGAATCATACAGCTGTTCTATCCTCCCATGCAACAAGTCAGCCCGCAGCTGTTTTAAACAGCACTTAGCTGGAAGTCATGTCAGAGTTAATCCCACACATTTTTTGCGGGGATAAAGGTTGAGGGATCTGGGTGGACACAAGAGGACCTCAACATGATGTAGGCAGTCCTTAGATAAACTTGTGTGTGGGTGTGCCTTACCTTGTAGAAAGACTCTTATCAGGTTGCCGTCCTAGGAGAAGTAAGACATCCAGATGCAGGATATCACTGATGTAGTTCTGTGCTGTCAAAGTCTCCTGGTCATACTCTGTGGCTTCGTACACCATAACATGAGGAGTAACAGTGTGTTTCTCCACAACATTAACAAAACTGGTCCTCCCTGTTCTGTAATGCTAGGCACATAATAAAACAATCCTAGTATGGTCTGTTATGGACAAACATAATCTCCATGATGTGAGTGGATGCCCTCACTCATTTTTTTAACATCAGGACCCTGTGACATCTGTAGTCTCCACAAATTGGAACATTTAACTCTATTTCTGCCCTGCCCAAAGGCTCGGTTATAGTCAGAATTGGACCATCAGAATATTCCAAATTGGACCATTCCTTTTCGGTGCTTTACTATTTTGTGGGTGAGTGTATTTTTACAGTTAGGCGCTCTCAATGTTGCTGCCTATGTCAAATAGCAGCACTTTGGAAATTGATGTTGACCATTTGCTTGGTGTTATACGTTTACTTTTATAAGCATATTTGTCACTGTTAGGGTTGGAAAGACTTGTCTGTGTTTTTTACATAGTTTCTTTCAAGACAAGGTCACAAATAATGTTGGAGAGTCAGTCCATTTGCAAGTCCCCTGTCCTGATGCTTTACCATGAAAATCTAAACATCACAGCAAACACACGTAACCAGCTTTCCCCTCCACTGAACACACTCACTGATCTCAGACTAGGCTCACTGCATATGGTCCAAATCACAGCTTTTACAAGATGTTGTCAGACATTAGCAATTTGGAAACTTACACCACAAAATTGCAGAACAATTTCAGAATTGATTACTTTTTTGCAGTTATCAAAGCCTAGTCTGATAGTGAGTCCAAATCCACTCCTACACAGCATCCTACCGTGCTTCACTTTAGACAGATTATCTTTTCCAGACGTGCTTTATCCCAAGCTGCCCTACTGTTCCTGCCTCCCTCCCTTACGACTCTACCTTGTCCATACCAAGGCGAGTCACAGAAACCTGTCCATAAATAATCTTAGATTATTTGGATGCTCCTTTTGTGTGTTTAAACTCAGCGTTAAACATGTTTAAACACAGATTTGTTTTGTGTTCTCATTTAATGCAATTGCAAACCATGTATGAGTTTACTTTGCTGTAATTCTGCATGAGTCCTTGTTACACACAATATATTATGTGTGAGACATCAACAGTTGTTTGCCTCATTAATTTATATAAAACTAATAGATTTTCTCTGTTTGCTGCAGGGAGTTTTCATGTACATAACCAACCGCTACGAGTTTGGGAGACTCATTTCCACAGCCAATTATAACATTTCCCATTACAACAACGACTTGTGGCAAATATTTGAAAACCCCGTGGTAAGTCATTCCAATCTGTGAAAGGTATTTGTCATAATCAAGAAGATCTTTCAAGAATCGTTTATTGTCATGCAAACACAACATCAAGATGTTATGCAGAACGAAATTTGCAGTTTTGAACATCCGTCCGGAGAAACACATTCACATGACAGACACGGGGGAACGAATGTCCAGGCTCCTCCGCAACTACGTGTGCTGCCTTTGCAGTTTGGAATACAAACACACCTAGGAAAAATGAGTTAAAAAAGAACTTTGATCTTGTGTTTAGTAAATGTAAGCACATGGTCATTGTTTGGAAAAAAAAAACTACTCTGCAGATAGAAGCAGAGGCCGCTAAGCAAGGAAGGGAAGGGGTGGGGATACAGGAGAACAAATATGGATGGGGGAAGGGATGTGACGTCAAGGGCAAGTGTCTGCTCCATACAGAGACCTCCATAGTCCAACTGATGTTATCCCACGTACACAGTTCCACAGAGTCCATATCTCTGTATAGAGTTCAGTTCTCTATTCCAACTCCGTGGCCTTGTCTGGGGACAGACACAAGATAAAGGATGGGGGTAGTAGGGAGGGTAAGGATCATGTCTACCACCCATGCATATCTTTGTTCAGGGAGTTCTTTATCAGTCTGCGCCCAAGGACACATCGGTGGGGATCCAATGGTGAAAAAAAAAAAGAAAATACTTTAGGACAACAGCAGAATGCTTTCTACCGCCGTTTGAGTCTTTACTGTATCTCTGTGTTGTGAAAATGCCAAATATTCCAGATTAATTACCATCTCGCCTTCTCACGTAAGAACTTCACCCAGATGTTGTCCTCACTCCTCGCGCCGCTGAGCTGCGATCCTAGTTAGCACCGCATCCAGTTTAGGATTCAGAGTTTACGAGAGATCCCGTCCAGGGACACTGACAGCTTCTCACAGGATCGAATCGCTGCCAGCGCCATTCTCATTTTCCAATAAACCAGAACTCCTCCACAACCAAACATCAGGAATTTGATTATCATGAAGCCAAATTTTAAAAAAAATTCTTCGACGTCCTCAATGGACAGAGGTGCCAGGCAGATCAAATTCCAGGACCCCCCAGCTTCCCGAAACTCGCCCTGCCGGTACCATTCCAGTGGGGCAGGAGCGCTCCCACGCTCCAATCTCAAAGTAGGGGTGTAAGAAAATATCGATACACTGAAATATCGCGATATTTCA